TTTTCCCTTAATTTTTAGTTTGTTTTTCTCGATTATTTAGAAAAGTATTAAGAATTTTTCACTTTTGACCCCCAAAGTACCAACTAGATTCACTTTCTGATCGAACGAGGTACTGAAGTCAAAAATCGAGCACTTTTACTGCCCCAAAACGTGATGACAGACACAAAAAAAAAAGAAACACATCATGGTAAAATCAATACATTCATCACTCCGCTCAGAATCTAATATCACGGAATATAATAAAAGTGTTTATCAAAAATACAAAATTAAATAAAATAATTAAAAAAAACACGGAATATAATAAAATTGTTAATATTAAAATACAAAATTAAATAATAATAATGAAAAATATAAAAGTTAAAACATTTATTTAGATGATTTTGTCAGAAAAACTTTATAATTGATAATAAAAAAAAAAAAATTTAAAATGTAATTTGAAAAACTTTCCCATAATTTTTTTAACCTATCGTCTTTACCTAAATTACTACGAAAAGCTCCTGATCTATAATTTAAAATTTTTATTGAAGCACTTGAGTGGCTTATTTGTAGAGCTTCAATAAAAAGCCAAATATTTGGATGATTAATTCGCACTAGAGTTGCAAATTTATTATTTGTATTATATAATTTATTATTCGTAAATTAAACGAAGAAAACGCATTGAAATTGTCAAAAAATGTGTTTAAATAATCAATATCATACATTAAGGCTCGGGCCATACGATGCGGAATTGCCGGATGCGAAAACAAAATTTATTTATTTATATGATACATTGATTTATATTTTTGATTAATATTTTAATTAAAATTATAAATATACTAAATACTAATATTATACGCTATCATAACCAGCTGACTAGCACAGATAGCGCAGTCAAAGTTCTGCTTACGACAAGTACGGTTGATTTTTTTCAATATGAGTGCTCTTTTAAATATTATTTGTGCCGCGGAAGCAACCGGTGAACTAGACGAACCTATTTCAACTACTAAATCTAGACAATTTTGGGTACATCCACTCAATCAAAAAAGAGAGGAGGAAGATTTGTTTGAAAACTTTTACAATTCAATTCGAAAATTTCCTCTAAAGTTTTTTGAATATTACCGAATGTCGCTAACTTCTTTTGATGAGTTGTTGGAAACAATTCGTCCTCATTTAACAAAGCAGCATACCAATATGAGGAATCCAATATGCGTTGAGCAAAGACTTACAATTACTATAAGGTAAGAAATTATTTATTTTTTAATTACCATAGATAATAATATGTACCTCATATTTGATATTATACATATTGAATATATTAATAAAAGGTAATTTATAAGCAATCAGCAAATAAATAGAAGTAGTGATTTATTTGAGAAAACTAAAAAMAATATAATATAATTGTAACAAATTATTTTACCTTTATTTGTAATAATATAAAAAAAATAAAACCCTGGGAGTATACAATATATTTATTAGAGTAAAATAAAAAAACTGAAATGTATAAACCATATTTTTAATTTATTTATTTGAGGAAGTATTAGGAGCGAAATTTGAAGATATATTAGTTAGTGAAAATGTGGCATTTGAGGCATTTGATGTAATTTCTTGTTGGTACTGTGAGAATTGAGGTTGAGGTGTAGGTGAATACACTACAGGTTGAGGATATGGAGGTACAACGTTGGGATAATATGGATTGTTAATTTCAGGTTGTCTATGTGGAGATAAATAAAAAGATGAGGAATCCTGATATGAGTTATTATTCTGATATACATTTGCCGGTTGATACGTCCAAGAAGATGAACTAATATTATGGGTTTGATTTGCATTTTTAAAAAAGTTAAGGGCATTAATACGAAAGTCTAATTTTTGGGAATCATTAAGGTTTTTGGAGTCTGGTAATAAAGACAATAAAAAATGTTTATCAGGATCATTGCACTCTCTTTCCTCTAAATAAGTTAATAATTTATTTTGGAACGGAGTAATCGGGGTTTCTTTTACAGTTTTTTTAAAATTTTTTGTGTGTACTTGAGAAGTGGATGTAGAGGCTATTGCATTCTGCTCAGTTTCACTAGTCGGGCTAATTTCTTCAAAAGTTTGTTTGACTTGAACACTTTCGTCGCGATTATCTTCAAAATTTCCAGTTGTATTAAACAAAAAAATAATATTAGGTATGTAATAATAAAAAGATAGATAAGTTTAATAAAAAAATTTTTTTTAAGTATCTGTGTAACTATATAAGCGAACTCATTTTAAAAATTAACTAGGTATATTAATGTAAAATCTGTCTACTCTTTTACTAGAAAAAAAAGGAAATCAATAAAAAATTAAATATAAATTAAATCATCAATGCATCCATGGATTTTTCAGAGTATAAAAATGAAAAGCTATAATACTATTATACCTACTTATTAAAAACAATAATATAACTTTTAGTAGTGAAAAATATCAAAAAACAAAAAAATTACCTTTTTTTTTCAGCAACTGGTTTTAAAAATGATAAAATATCAGCATAATGGTACTTTTTCTTTTTTGATGCACCCGAACCAGATGGGGTCGAATTCTCCTCTTTGTTCCACTTTATATAATAGTCACGGACATTTCTCCATCTTTTTTCTTTTAAATCTTTAACTTAAATTAAAATATAAATAATCTTTTTACTAAATTAAACAAAAAAAAAGAGGATAAGTGGGTGTCGTTCTGCTGTACAGCTGGATACTGTATTACATTTGAATTCAATGATATTCATTGTATACGAAAAACAACTCTGAGTAGAGACGATTTGTCAGCCTAGGATATTTATTTTGTTAAAAAACTAAAAATCTTGGTTATTTAATATATGTAATTTCGTCCAAATTTGATCTTAAAATAACTATAAAAAATAACTGTGGTTATATATTTCTTAGATTTTTTAACTACAGATTTAACTATTTAAGAAGAATCTTGTATTACATTTTCAAACCTAAGATTTAAAAAGAAAATTTCTTATGAATTTCTAATTCAGATAATATTTTGAAAATTGCCATGATTTTTACGTATTTAGTCAAAATTTAAACTTTAAATGCTTATAAAAAAAAATTGTGCCCGTGTATTTTTAATATTTTTCAACTGCTWTTGTAACATTATTTTGGAAGCCTTGTATTAAGTTTTCAAGCTTTTTGAGCAAACCAATAAAATTTTATTGACATTAATAGAAAAAAAAACTAAAAAAGTTGAAAAWTTAAAATGTCAGTAAACAGCTCAAAACAAATCAAAATATTTTGAAAATGTTATCAAATATAGAAAATGCCTATATAAACATTATTCAGTGAAAATTC